AAAGGCATACGGACAGCACGTGCCAAAGCAGCGAATATCTGCGCAATGTTTGCGGCCCTATCAACTACGGTTGAGGCGTCCTCCGACTTCGACGCCTCCACAGTGCACTGTTGAAAAACATCCAAGAGGCCGTAGATGTTCGTTTGTAGGAACTTGAGGAGTTGACTGGTGTAGCCCTGTTGAGTCTGCGAAAAGAAAACACGCCCAGCGGAATAAAACATTATTAAAAGATGGAATATTCGTGGAGTTATTCACAAGAGGTAGATGGAATTCTTGTCATACACTTGTGATTTAGCAAACGAGCTCATTTCAATTGCTTGTGCACAGTCTTGTCCATTTCCCACTGTTTCCTGATCGTTGTTTTAGGAGTGGTTAAGCGAGTATATGATCCGCTTATTACTTGGCTTTTAAAACAACGAGGTGGTTAGTTTTCTTCCCCGTCTTACTCAACTAGCAACTGCAGTAAGAAATTATTACTAAATTCTAAGAAAGCCGGTGAGTGCGCATAAAACCCTTGACGGGAGAAATTTCCAAAGATAATGCTTAAGACGGTGAGATCACTGCTGTTGTGAGAAAACAAACGACTTGATGGATCACTGAGGACAGGTTAAATTTTATGACAACTGTGTTTTACATGTAACAGTGGTAGGGGGTTTAGTTCAGTACGATCCAAAATCTTGGGAAAATATGCGATTTAATATTTTATCAGGGTGGTAGTTCGTAGACTCGGTCTTAAACACACAGGCGAGGGTGCTCAATACACCACATTATATAGCAGCCTCCAAAATAATGCATTCAAAACAGAAGAGTTCCTCCTAGATGGCCCCTTGTCAAACTCTTGTATATGTAGCGTCTGGCGTTCACCCAGACGGAAGTGAGCTAGATGCAGCGGTTCACTGGACAGGTTATCTCGTGCCGATGGTTGTTGAGTTATACCCTGACATTTACATTCCCGGCTCAGTGCTGCTGCATAAATTGCACGAGACCCCTGAGGCGATACACTACCAGGAATTTAGAGGACCTCTAGATCGGTGAGTTGTACCAGAGATCAAGGCTGAATAGTAATACACTTTGTTACTGGCCGATAAAGTGCAAAGTGAAAAGCAAACGTTTGATAATGACGCGGGGCACTTCGATCTATTAACAGCAAGCGGAAATACGTGAATGGGTTGCAGCAAATCAAGTTTACTAGAGGATACTTTGGTTAGATCGCGTATAATTATTCTTCTAAGTAAGCTTTGTCCACATCACATTTGTGGCCAGCAACAATGAAATTTGGTAGTGTAGAAAGAGCTGCATCGAAGGGTTTAGTCCGATGGTCTGATCAATAAAGTTAACAAGTTCAGCGGTCGCGTGCTGCACTAAAAACTGACCTACTGGTTTAGGTTAGTACTACCACATATATTAGCCCAGCCCACACAGACACGTACAACACGGTGCGGCTGGACGGAAGCTGTGGTTATACGAATTTAGAACATATATGAAGCTACCGGTGGGCCCTTGGAGCGTCCATAAATCGCTCGTTTAGCTGTTTGGCCAATTCACTGGCTCGGTGATTGTGAGTCGGATGTTCACATATAACACGTTAGTCCAAGAAGAAAGGAATTCCTGGAATAAGTCGTCTACCTTTTCAGTAAGCGCGTAGCCGTTTCTTGTCACGGTTGTGCTCGGGCCGAATCTCACTATAGGGTACTGCCAATTTTTACCTCTTCACGTATGACGGTCTGTGGCTAGCCGCCTAATATTCAGCGCATTAGTATTTACTACTGCGATGGGGTGTAACAAAGACTTTCCAAATGAGCAACGAAGAAGCAGCTTATAATCACTGACTGCAATGCTACAGTGATACAATTTGGAAACAAGCAAACTGATGGTCATATAAAATGCACAGAGTGCGATGACACCACAATGGAATGGCGATTAGAAACAGCAACTACACAAATCTCTCTTGCTGCAGTTGTCTTGTCGGATGAGGATCAGGCAAATCATAGAGGTTTCTCGTTACGTGGGCTGTTGAAGCTGGATTTTCGCCCAAAGGATGGACCTGTAAACTGATCTATTTCTAGGAGCGATACCGGCGCGTCGTTCTTTAAAATGGCAAAACGCCTAAGCTGACAGAGAAGACTACTGTGTATTCTATGAGCCTCTCAAGGCCAGCACGCCAGACCAAGGCTAGCACAGTATTAACAAACTAGTGGAAGGCAGGTCCTTACGACGGCAGTATCTAGTATCGATCTATTGAAAAAGCAGAGGCGTGTGCAAACGTTTAAACATATCGTTGCGAGTAAATAGGACATGAGTGGAAAGTTTAATTTGTTTACGTGATCATTTATTGATTATTGAATAGTTGAAAAAAAAATCGGATAGAAACGACAGGCCAGTTACTTTGCTGTGTTGAACAACCCTATCGTTAAAAAATATGGTCTTACAATCGTCAGATATATAGTCACCTGGCATTCTAGACACGAATAAATTCAAAATAAAAAGTAAATAAGTTGCAATTCTAGCACCCTAATAGACTAATGGGATATTTCGCTCCAATACCAACAGTTTGAAAGCCTCTGTCCATGACCTGAAGAGGACTCGCCTGCAGCTACGGCAACAGCCACCTTTGTGGAATATTGGGCAAAATGGATTAACCAGACTTAAATTCTTAGACGAACCTTTCATTAGGTACTCGATCCGTGAACGGCGATGAAATTATGGAAATATTGGTGCCAGAGTAAGTGTTTATCGGGGATACCCCAGTTTCTCAAATTAGCATATACACGCTGCAGCCCCAATGTATGTACAATCGAAATAGGCCCATAACAGGCTTCATAAAGCAGTTTAAAATGCAGAAGTATGGAGACAAGTAGACGAAACAAATGAAGAAGACTGATACTGGCATGTTAAGTCTTCAAGGAGAGCAAGAAGTAAGATCAACCGAGACTGACGAAATCACTTGATAACTGCAATGGGAAGGGCAGATCAAAAGTAACTTACAGAACAGGAGCAGAGAAGTGCCAATATCCATTCCATTGCCGCATTACTAGTGGACTCTGGGTAAGAGGCGGGATTACGCAGAACGTAAAAGGCACCCTCGAGAAGAGGCGATATTCGCACATCGCTCTCAGCCATCACCCCGGTGTTATCCCACCAACTGGCTAAACAGTTGAAGATACGGGCCAGCATCGACGCATTAGCATTTTTGACGCGGAAAGACTGTACATGCGTTGACGGATGGTAGGAAACGGAAAGTGGGCACAGAATGTGATGACTGTTAGTTTGCACAAGCATTAACTACAGTAAAATATGAGGTTATCAATGCCTCAATAATAAAAACAATAACCGATGGGAAAGTTTTTTTACAAAATATGACAAGGCGGCAAGAGCAAAACTAGTATAGTAGTTACAAAAAGCGTAAGTGAAAAAAAAGAGAATATGGAAACAACGGCTCGAATGGTCAAAAAATTAACTACTAAAGAGCTGACTGATCCAAGAGCAAAAAATCTCACTCATACGTGGTACCCTATCTAGAGGTCTAAGTCGTATACGCAAGATCTTAAAAATTATACTTAGACGGTTTTCTCGGTGGATAGTTAAGGAGACAGGAAATCGTCGAGGCAAAATGCACAATACACCCAAAACTAACCGAAATCGACAGATACACAGACCAGCTAATGGAAAGGACGTGCAAACGTATTGGACGAAAACTGCTGTTTCGAATACCTCGTAACTGGGCCAGCTGACTACAGAAAGTCAGATGGACTTCCAATCAACGGACTTCATGGTATGCGCCTTTATGATAGTATCAGATGAAAAATGAAGTCTTGTAGGTATTGGCCCAAAAAGGTTGGTACAGCACTCTGCTTGAAGTTATTGCTTACCAGAAAGTCCAGGACGAGTTGCTTCTGCGATTCAGCGTGGCTCATCAAAACCTGTCGTCGGTTTAAACCAAGCCGAAGGGTTTTTGAGGAAATCTAACACAACAGTTTCGAAGTTTATTGCGCTTACCTCTTCGGCGATGAATCTCAGAATATCTACAAGGTAGGCAGAAGATGTTTCTGATGGTGAGAGTCTGGATAAATTAATTAATCTCGAAATTGCACTTACGTTCTCACGATTTCACCGATCGCGTCATTCCATTGTACCATTTGGCAAAAGAGGTCAGATACCGCCAAGCATAACTGGTTAGCAATCGATACAGGCGTATCCTCTGTCAGTTTAAGTACGTGATTAAGCAGAGAATCTTTTAAAGCCTTAGAAAGATAAACCTCAATGAAATCCATCATACCGCGTGTGCTCCGGTTGGCAGTTCTGTAAAATACATTTGAATCTAATGAATGAAAGATGGAATAAAGATAATTTACTTTTATGCGCATTGTTTGAGCACCAAAGTAACTCGAACTCAGGTCGCGCTTCAGATATAAGAGCTGGTCTGATATTTCCCAAGCATACACCTAAACATCTGCGCTCGTAGAAAGTTAACATACGGATTGCTGAAAAGCGCATAGCCATTTCGAAGCATTTTCTTTGACTGAATTGTCTGGGTTAACGTAAAGAGCATAAATGGCTTGTAAAACAGTCTCGACGGTAGGCGCATCATTTATCGAGATCATTGCGCTCAACGCGGTTTCAGCGCGAAAACATTCTGCTTGCACGCTTCGTGTGCACCAATAGCTATGCCTCAACCTCTTCTGGTCTATTCAAGTTTATAGATAGGGAAAAGTACTCACTTTTCGAAATTATTTGGCCAGCCGTGGGTAGAAGAGAAAACTTAATTACGGAATCCATGAGCCTAAATTAACTTTCTGCATTTTAAGAAATAATAATAGGGGTCACTGTACTTTTGAGTCAATGTAATGCAGTCCGTGTTGGGCAGGTAATTGAGGAAAGGATCGATGGCAAAATCATTGTTCAAAAAATTGAAAAATGGCCCCTATTGTTAGGAAATGGAGTTTCTACAAACCATGCAAGCATATATTTATAAACTAGCAACAATTCACCATGGAGTTTTATGTCCTGAATTTAACAATTTACTCCAGCGGGGCCTTTCTTGGTCTTTTTTGAGTTTGCTTACCTTAATATCCTTAATTTTTTTCAAACTATAACTTTTGTGCAAATGGCTGAAGCTTTTTTTAGCTTATCTGCTCTTTTTGACTGCGGCATTGGCAGCTGCTCTACATATACGTTTCGTGAAGTACTAAAAATACGCATTCTACGGCCTTCCTTATACATGTAATATAAGCAGTTTTATGTGGTCAGTGGGTTGAGTACATATTTCTCTTTGACGTGGTTTATTAATAAAACTATCTGGGAATCTCACATGCGTATTCGACTACAGCAATGAACAGCATACAAGCAATCCTCTCGTTTCCCTGTTGTCGTTATTAGTTGTGATAATAATAAT